TAATCCCCCACCTCTGCAAATAAGAGAAGGTAGCACATTTTCTTCACTCTATTCTGTATCCAAAAGCCTTAATTACAATGACAGTGTTTGCTTTCTTTTCATTTATCTTATAGTCATTGTGTCAATTGTTTTCTTGGTTTTGCTGACCATTTTGCATTGATTCATATAAGCTCCTTACACATCTCTGAATTCTTCATATTTATGGTGGATAATATTCAATTATAATGTATACCTTATTTGTTCAGTTATTCTACAACTGGTAGACATCTCCTTTGTTTCAAGTTCTTTGCTAACCACAAAAAAAGTGTTGCTACAAATACTTTGGTCTATATGGGATTTCTTTCTGTCTCTGACCTCTTTGGCATATAAGTCTAGTAATGGGACCTCTGTGAAAAAGTATGACTGTTTGTCGCACATGACATTCCATCTCCCATCTCCTCCCCTTTAATACTGGCTGTCCCTCATGCCCAGAATGCACTTCTCCTCACCTCTGCCTTTGCAATCCTGATTTCCTAAAAGACTCTACTGCAGTTCCACTTTTTATAAGAAGCCTTTAATGATCATCCCCCAGATGTTAGTACACCTCCCTCTCAAAATAACTTGTATTTATTTTATATACAAAGGAGCAAGGTTGGCAAAGTAGATAGAGAGCTGGCCTCAAAGCTAGAAGACCTGGGTTCAAACCCTGCCTCAGATCCCTATTGTTGCTGTAACCCAGAGCCCTTTCAGTATTCTGGACAACTCTCTAAGATCATAATTTGCAGAACAGGTGCTGTTGTGCACAGATAAAGGAAGTTACTATATTGGAAAGTTCGCTAGACAAATGAAGCCATACATCCAGTCTCTGTCCTTATCCTGATAACTTATATATGTACATGTTATCTCACTCATTAGAAAATAAGCTCCTTAAGGGGAGAAAAGGTTTCACTTTTGTCTTTGTATCTCCAGCACTTAGCTAAGTATAATTCTAAAACTGATTCCAGAACGGTTGGAACAATGCACAGCTTCATCAAGGGCATTTGTGTGGCTGTGTTCCCACAGCCCTTCCAAGATTTTTCCCTTTTTTTCCTCTTTGCCAACTTTCTGGGTATGAAGCAAAACCTCAATTATGCCAATTCAAAAACCTCTTATTATTAGGGATTTGGAGTCATCTTTCATATAGTTGTTAATAATTTGCAATTCTTATTTTGAGAACTGTTTGTTCATTCTGTTTGATAATTTATCTATCAGGTAACAAAGTAATATTCCAAAAGCACATGCGTGGCCATGGACTTCCTTGTTCAACACTCTCAACATTGTATCAGCACAATGATATCAAAGAGCCAGCGTGGTTTCAGCAAGAACAAGTCCTGCCAGACTAACCTGATTTCTTTTTTGGACAAAAATAAATCAGTAGGTGAGGGGAATGAATGCTGTGGGTGTAGTTTACCTAGATACCAACGACGCTGGTAAAGTATTTCATACTATTCTTGTGGCAAATATGAAGAGATGTGGATTAGACAACTATATGGTCATGTGGATTCAAACTTTGGGTGAAGAGCCACATTGAAAGAGAAGGAATTGTCAATGGTTCAGCATCATTATAGCCGGTCTCTGATGGAGAACCGAAGCGATTTGTGTTTGGGCTTTTGCTGTTTGATATATTTGTCAATGACTTCAATAAAGGCATAAATAATATGCTCATCCCATTTGCAAATAACATCAAACAGGGAGAGACAGCAAACATGCTGGATGACAGAGCTAGAACCCAGAAGCATCTTAAGAAACTAGAGCACTGGGTTAAATCTAACAAGATGAAATTCAATAGAGATGCTTAGTAAAGTGCTTAGGATAGTGCCTGGCACAAAGCAGACATTTAATAAATGCCTCTTTGACTACTGACTATAAAGTCTTACACTTGGGTGTGAGAAGAAAATCTAGCCTCAGAAGTATGAACTACAGAAGGCATGGTGACATAGCAGTTCTGAAAAAAAGGAAAAAAAAAAGGAAAAAAAATCTGGAGGTTTTAGGGGACCACAGCATCAATATGAGGTAGCAGTGTCATTGTAATCTTGAGCTACATCAAAGAAGAGCATAAATTTGACTTTTCGGTAAAGCCCTTCATAACCTGTCCTTTTCTACATTTCCAGTCAGTCTTCTTACACATACTCAACAGTTTAGCATTGATGATCTTTTTGTTGTTCATTGTACAAGAAGCTCTATCTCCCAAGTCTGGACATCTTCATTGACTGTCCCTCCCATGCTTGGAATTCTCTGCCTTCTAGTTTACTTTAAGTCTAATTAAAATCCTACCTTCTTGAAGAAGTCTTTCCCAGTCTTCCTTAATGTTAGTACCTTCCCTCTAAGATTATTTCTACTTTTCTCATTCTCTCTCTCTCTCTCTCCCTCTCTCTCTCTCTCTCTCTCTCTCTACACACACATATACACACATGTACATATGTATGTGTGCATATGTGCATGTATGAATATATACATATGCATATGCATGTTTGTGTGATGTATATTTAAAAATATTGTTTATACATTGCCATTTGCATGTTGTCTTCTCCATTAATTCGTAAGCTCCTTGAAGGCAGGTACTGTTTTTGCCTTTGTACTACCAGGGCTTTTCGTAGAACCCGAAATATGGTAGATGCTTTATAAATGCTTTCTGATTGGACTTGCAGACTCAAGAGTCTCACTGTATTCTGCCCTTGTCTGGAGTATTGCAGTAAGATTCAGGCACCACCACCATTTAAGGAGACTGATAATGCAAAGAGTATTCAGAAGAAGGTACCCAAAATGTAAGGGTACTTGAGTCTGTGTCATAAGAATCTGGTGAAGGAATTAGATATTTTTAATCTGAAGAAAAAGAGCCTCACGAGAAACAAAGTAGTTGCCTTTAAAGGCTGCCATACGGGAAGAGGGACTGGACTTGTTCACTTAGACCACAGAGGACAGAACCAAGAGCAATGAGTAGAAGTGAAAAGAAATCAAGCTCAGACTTAACATCAGGAAAAACTTCCTTACAATTGGAGCTGTCCAAACATAGGATGGACTGCCGGCCTCAAGAGTTGGTCCCTTCTCCCTCTCCATGGAGTCTATCAAGCAGGGGCTGCCTGACCATTTGTTGGTTATGTTCTAGTGGGGATCCCTTTTGTGTATGGGTTAAACAAGGTGGTTGCTGAGGTCTCTTCCAAATCTGACTTTCTGTGAGTCTATGATTCTCCTGGCTCCTACTTGCCCCTACCATCAAGTACAAATTCCTATACCTATCATTTAAAGACCTTCACAAGTTGACCCCAACCTACTTTTCCAGGATTATTATATACTGCTGCTTTCCAAGTACTCTAAGTTCCAGCCAAATTCAGCTATTTGCTGTAACTGGCTGACATAATTATATTTCCTGTCTCTGTGTCTTTGCACAGGGTATCCTCTCCTTCTTGGAATGGACTCCCTTATTATATCCTCTCTATGACATCTCTAGCTCCCTTCAGAGCTCAGTTCAGGTAGTATATGATACTACTTAAAAGTCTTTATCCACCCCCCCAACTACTTCCCCCACAACCATCACCACGTAAAATTACGTGGAAATATATATACATATATGTATATTTCCACTGATAGAATGTAAGCTCCTTGAGGACAAAATCTGTACCAGGACTGGTACATAGTAGTCCTCAATAAATACTTGCTAATTGCCCAGTATCTAAGTATTACTTTATTCAGGTTACATTTGGCAACATAAGGTGCTATTCTCTACAAAAAAAAATTTTGGCTAAGTATTGATTGAGAAGCTCTGGGATAGCATATGTTTGTGGCTTTAGGTCCCACCTCCAGTAAGATATTCATACAACATTTACTGTTAATTATGCCATTTGAGACCAAAGGTTATAGTCATTTTGGCTCAGTCTTACCCTTACCACATTTAATAAAAATGAAATGACTGTAAATCTTCCTATCAATTAGGCTGATTATCTGGATCTTGCTATTGGTTTTTAATTTAACCATTCTATTACTATAATGAAACAGACTTTTATATTCCCAGCTTTACAACTTACAATACCATGCTATAAATCAGTAAGAAAAATGTTAAAATGACCTTTTCCCAATTGAAACTTTTGTTGGTATGAATATCACAAACCCAGAACCACTAAAAGCATGAGCTTACATAGGTGAGATAAGATATTTTCTCCCTTACAATCCCTTCCTCCCCACCCTAGACATATCAATGGATGATACCCACTCAAGAAGCACTAAGTGCTACTGGCCATAAGGATACAGCCTCAGAGTTTTAACTGTAATTGGTACTTTTGATAAATTGTTAATGGAGATAAGTGTTCTACTTCATATGCAGAAGGCTTGAGACAAGAATTGAGGTCCTTTTCCATTGAAGAATCATGTCAATCCTTCAAGCAAGGAGCAGACAATTCAGCTACCCACAGGAGATCGGGGGCAGAGTGGGGGGCTCTTTCTTTCAGGCCCACCTGAATTCACAAGTCATCTATCCATTACTTTTAAACAACAACAACAAAAAAACCCCAGGATTTTCCAAATTACTTGCAACCTGAGAATATAATCCAATAGTTATCTCCAAGAGCTGCCATAGCTAAAAGAAAAATGGTAAGTCGAAAAGGTCGATTGAGGAAAGCACAACATCAAACATCACACCCCTAGAAACTGAGTCCCCTTAGACTAGAAATTTGGGGGGAAAAGTCAACAAGAAAGAAAGGAGGTAAAATCTTAGGGGTATACTACTTCCTTGGTGACCCTCCTACTTATTCACATCTTTGGGAAAGACAACCATAGATCTCCCAACCTGTCCTCAGCCTAGCTAAAAAATGGGAGGGGTTGACAAGGACTAAGAATTTAATTGTTTTTACTTCCAAATTGTTTTTCTTCTGCTCCTTCCATCCTGAGCCCTGATGTTAGAATAAAGTAGAGGGCATCAAATGAGTAGAAAATTATTAAGTGTTTTCAGCACTGAAGAAGATCACACCTTTGACTGCTGTAACCCTCACCTGGCCATCTGCTTGTAGGCCTCTTCTGCCACTGCAAAGATGTGGGGGTCTATGTCCCCCATGTTTTGGCCACTGTAGGCATAGATGACATCTTGTCCATAGATTGGCAACTGTTCATAGGGGTTGATGGCAACAAGCACAATACCTGCAAACATACAAAGCAACTGGGATTAGGGAGAGCCGGCATCAACTTTTCAAGGCTTTATCCAGGTATGTCAGGGCATGAGATTCAGTCTCTCCACAGAGTTCAAAATAAGGAAGGCAATCATTGTTTTGCATGTATATGCCTTCTCAGTTACATAATGAACTCCTTATGGGCAGAGACTTGACTTCTTGTGTTTTTATGTATTCTATACTATCACCACCCCCATTCCCATCCTCTACCCCCCAGTGCCTAGCATCATGCTGGGAACTTAAGAGGTATAACCCAAACATATTTTTATTGATTAAGTCAGAAGACTCGATGAGGTGAAGTATCAGGCCTGGTGTCTTTTGGGGGTGATAGTATTGAGATAAAAGATAAGAGGATAAATGTCAGTTCAGCTGCCAAGACAGGAGAAAAAACTAGTCTCTTTCTTCATATCATGAAAGTTTTATCTCAGAATCTCAGAAGACCCAGAAGCTGGGAGTGAGAAAAGTGAGTGTATACAGGCAAGGGTGACTGTCCAAAATCACATGTTAAGTACATTTTTGGAACATTATTCTTCATTCCTATTCCCAGTTATTGGTAGTGGGGGGTGGGGCTTGAAAGTCGATAACCACAGATATCTCCAAGTGATTTGCTTACCAAAGTCTCTCCCTGGACCCTATTGTCACCTTGTTTGACTAAAGAACAGAACACAGGAGAAATGCTGACACAGTTTTTCAGTCTTTGAGAGACAGATAGACAGGCATCAAGTCACCTCAAATGTTCCACTGATGTAAAAATTATGACTTAATTCAGAAATATTAAAGAATTAGGACATAGCACTCCATTTAAATAAGGTTTAAACAGAAAAGCCCTTTTGGTTTCCACCTTTGATTAATGAAAAAAACTGATGCAATTGATGAAAAAAATTGTAATGTTCAAGTCCATTTTCCTAACTTTAAAAGATAGGTATACCACTAAACAGAACTACTTTTTTGTTGAATGGGGACCTCATAGTGTCCCAGATTCATAATTCTGAAACTTGATGACTACAACATGGGACTGTAAGTGGAAAAAATATAAGATCCTGGGTTACAAGTGTAGTGACTCCAGGACAACCCCTCAAAGTTGCTTTATTTTAAGTTATTATGAAAACCCTGACATCAGTTCATTTTGTTTTAATTTGCTTTTTTTTTTAATCTTTTGTGGGGTTGGAGGAAGAGGTAACTGAACAGGGGACTTAATGTAAAAAGTCTGGGGGAGGCAGCTCCCTCCACCAGTGAGGACAGCGCCTGCTCTTTAACTTAGCCTGAGAGAGAGCCCTGCATCATTGAAAAGTTAATTGACTTGCCCAGGATAACACAGTACATGTCAGAGGTGAGGCTTGATCTCAGGTCTTCCCTGACCCCAAGGCTTGTTTTCTACCGACTATACCATACTCTTTCTCTCTACCTGTGTAAAATAGAGGGGGAAATGGAAAAAAATAAAAATGCTTAATAGAAAGCATTGGATAGTAGTGTGTTATTGTATTTGAAATAAGACTTCATCAGCTTTCAGTCAGCTTGGGGAAAATCTTATTTCACCATTTGGAAAATGCCATTTCTCAAACATTAGAAATGCCAGGCTATGTAGATCTAATTACAGCTACTCCATAGGAAAAACATCCTAATTAATTGGATGTCATTTCAGACCATGGCGAAAAAATTTGAAAGGGGCAAAAATCTGAAGAAGCTCAGGCGTAATTCATGATGTCAAGCAAGAGGAAGATTCTGAAGCAACAACCAAGAATCCTCACTCTATTCCCTTGAAAATTTATAATCACTCACCTATGACTATCCCCTATTATCCAACCTCAGACACTTACTAGCTGTGTGACCATAGGCAAGTCACTTTACCCTTTTTGCCTCAGTTTCCTCATCTGTAAAATGAGCTGGTGAAGGAAATGACAAACCACTCCAGTATCTTTGCCTAGAAAACCCAAATGGGGTCACGAAGACTGAAATGGGCAGGACCAAATGACTCAACAACAACACCCCCTCCTCACTTCTGTTTCTCAAAATCTCTAGCTACCTTCAAAGTTCAGATCAAGGGTCATCTCCTACAGAAAGCCTATACTGATCTTCCATAGATAATTTGTATTAAATTTCTATGTATATGTTGTTTTCGCTACCACTTTGATAAAAAAAAAAGCTCCTTGAGCACAGGAACTGTTTCTTTTGCTTTCTCTCTTTTTTTTGTCTTTACATTGCCTATATCACATAAGATATCTCCTTTATTAAATAGTATCTGGCATATAGTAATAGTAATAATAACATCACCTAGCATTTATGCATTTACATTGCACTTTACGCATTTATATGGTACTTTAAAGTTTTCAAAATGCTATACACATGTTATTTCACTTTATTCTCACAACAATCCTGAAAGGGAAGTGCTAGCTATTATTATCCTCATTTTACAGATGAGGAAATTGAGGCAGGTGAAGTTGAGTGATTTGGCAAGGATCATACAGTTTTTAAGTGTCTGAAACCAGATTTGAAAGCAGGTGTCCCTGCTTGCAGGTCCAGCACTCACTCTATCCACTGTGCCACCTGAGTGCCTTTAGACACTTTAGTAAATATATATTGAATTGAATCAGGAATGTGGACTATTTGACTCTAGATTGATTACATTATCGTACTTAGCACAATGGATGCTTCTCATCTTCTATAATGCTTACTGATGTTAAGCTCCATGAGGGCCCAGATTGAATCCTGCTCCTATTTTTCCCAATGCCTAACATAGTTTTTATATGCTGTATGCATTTAATGAATGTGAATGAAAAATCCTCATTAAAATAAGGGGAGGGGGAGAAGAAAAAAGAGAGGAATCTATAATCCAGAATGTGGCAAACTAAGGAACTGAAAACAAAGTCAATCCCTCCTACTCTTTCTCATGTGGTATCTAGTACTGGAATCCTTTTTGTATTGGGGTATTTGTCTGATGGCTTCACCAAGGGCCACTGGGAATGGTTACTGCCATCTTCTGGTGTCTTCCTCCAGTCCTGTTCCCCAATAAAAAAAAAGCCCAAATCTATTAGAAGTATGATCGATAGCTAGAGTAGGAGAAAAACACAGTTATGCAGATGCCTGCAATGTCCTCCCTCTCCTTGCAATTTCAAGTACTGGACTCGAGCAAACCCCTTCGTGGGATTTGGTTCAGCATGGACCTGTTTCCTCCTTTGTCGAGCAATTATAATGACAATGATTCTCCAGGGATGCAGGGAAGGTTAATTGAGTAATGTGCACTGATTGCAAAACATTCAAGGGTTTCTGATGAGAGACACTCATCAAATGCAGCAGCAAAATTAGCATTCTTGCCAAGCTGGAGTTTAACACTCCTCATTTTAATGATGCAACACAGTCACAAACACAAATGCATGCACATTGTCCAAATACTGGCACTCCACTTACCACAGTAGGTGTAGATATGGTTCGACTCCAAGAAACGGACTTTTAAATTATGTAAAACTGCAGGCTCATGAAGATAACTAAGAGCTGTTAAGTCATTTTCTCCCACCAGGATATCCGGGTTTCGTAAGAAGGGGAGCTGGTTGGTATTGAGATCAACTGGGTATTCTTGGATCTAAAGAAACACAAGTCACAGAAAAGGAAATAGTGGAGTTAATTAATTTGCCTGGAAGGCACTAGGCACAGCATGATGCCCTGTTAAGTTATCTACCTCAGCTACTTGACCTTCACATAATTACAAGTGATCTGTATGACCAATAGCAACGTGTTTTGAGGAACCAGAGACAAGACGAGTAACATCTGTCCTGCCGTAAGAGACCAGTCCAAGCGAAGCCTTCAAATGCTGACAGAGAGCTTGGAGAAAAGCCACATGGGTATCACTGAGGACTACAACTCAGGAAGCATGACATTCATTTAAGAAGCACCCTGGGACAGAAGGAAGGCCAGAGATAAGAGCAGGCAAGCAGGACAGGTCTGAGAGCTACTGCTTGAATTTTGTACACACTTAAAAAGAAAAGTAAGCTGTACATAAGAGAAATTTTCAGTTTCACATATGGCTTGCTTTTCAATTCTACTAGATATATGGGAAAGCCCATTTTATTTGTTTGTTTGTTGTTGTTGATAGGTTTAGAAAAAATTCATGAATATTTTAAAAATATTTAAGTACCATAGGCCGCTTTTCACCTTTAGTCCAAAACATGTCTTCTCTGGGACACAGCCTCTGCTATTTTAAAGGTAGTCAGCCCTCTCCATTTTCTAGATAAGAAAGATAAGAAAGCTGAGGCATCCAAGTACATGGTTCCAGGGTCACAGAGGCAGAGGCAGAGGTACTTGTACATGAGATGCATGACTTGACTCACTTAACAGAATCTGTAGCATACACTTGATACTTTGAACAGTTTGTTTGTTTGTTTTTGACCACCCTCTCTCATTCTGGATGCTCTCCTCTCTGTTTTTGAAAGAGTAACTCACCTGGTTCTTCATTTATCTATCTGGCCATTCCTTCTCTACCTCTTTTGCTTATTCATCATCCACATTACATCCTCTAACTGTATGTGACCCCCAAAGTTCTATGCTGGGCCCTCCTCTTGTCTTCTCCTTTTAAACTCTTTCTCTTGGTAACCTCATCAGCTCCCAAGGTTTGAATTGTCATCTCTGTGAAGATGACTCACAGATCTATATAAACAGCTGTAGTTTCTACTCTGAAAGTTCCAGTCTCACATCATCAATTGCCTATTGAAACTGGATGTCCTGGAGATATCTCAAGCTCTCCATGTCCCAAACCAAAGTCTATCTTCCCCCCAAAATAGAATCTTATTGAAAGCTTCACTATTTCCATCAAAGGCAACACCATCCTGCCAGTCTCCATCTTTCCATCCTTCCATTCTTCCAGTCTGCCAGGATTGCAATCTTGATGTTATTCTTAACTCCTCACGAGAGTTCACCTTCACCAATGTATCTAATTACAGTAGTCGATAAATCTTGTCCTTTTTTAACCCAACAACATCTCTCAAGTCAGACTCTGTATCTTTTCACATCTTAGTTCAAGACCACATGAACTCTTGCCTGGATGATGACAAAGGTCTCTAATTGGCCTCCCTGCCTCAAGTCAATCAAGTACATTTTTCACACTGCCATCAAAGTGATTCCTTAAACACAAATCTGACCACTTAACTCTTCTAATTCAATCAACTCCATCGATCCCTATTGCCTTTGGAATAAAATAAAAAATTTTCTATTTAGCTTTCAAAGTCTTATACAATGTGGTCCCAGCCTCACTGGACACTGCATCCTCTCCCATGCTCTTCCAGTCAGCAAAAAGTGACTTCCTCTTTGTTTTTCCCACACAACACTCTACTCTGCCTTTGCACTATACACTCTCTCCTCACCTCCATTTTATAGAGTCCTTTGCCTTCTTCAAGTCTCATCTCAAGCACTACCTTCTCTATATATGAAGCCTTTCTTTATCCCCCAAATGCTAGTGTCCTGCTTCTCAAACTACTTTGAATAAAACTTGTATTTATTTGTATACACATACACACACACATTTTACACACACGCATGGTGAGAGAGACATATGTACTTGTCTTTCCTGGTAGAATGTAAGACCTATGTAAGCAGGGATTGTTTCATTCTTCATACATGCACCTCTGATGCCTTGCACAATGTCTGATATACAAATGCTGCTTAATAAATACTTGTTCATTTTTGACTGAATAGAAAAATGCATGATTCCTCTGTCCCACTTCCAAACCACATCCTTTTGCCCACTGCATATATTTACTCTGGAATGATCCATGGGAAATCTGAATGGCTTCCCCCTAATTGAGGAATACTTAAGCTTTTTTGTGCCATGGACCTCTTTGGCAGACTAGTAAAGTCTATAGAACCCTATTCATAATAATGGATTGTGGTCTATATTCACAATTGAAGGAAATGTCAAATTTTAGTTAGATGCTTGTGAAAATAAAGATGTATTTTTTCCTATCCAAGGTCACAGACTCCCTGACAACTATCCAAGTTAAGAAGCCCTGCTCTAAATAGAATCCTCAAAAAGGTAATTCTACAAAATTACCAAAGCTACTAAGCTAAGCTAAATCAGCTTTAAGCAATACCATCACACCACCATAATGCTTTTCTGAAAATGATATTTTTAAAATACCCACTTAATAAAAATATAAAACAAACATCATTGACAAAGCAGGAAATCCAGATGAAGCTACTGGCATAAAAAGTAGGCTTGTTTCCCCTCAGTACAAGAAAAGGGCAGTGAAGCGAGGAATTTTTATACTACAGAATTCTGGAACTAGTAGATTTTTTTCAGAAAGGACTCTGGTCTACATCCAAGTCTTTCTGGATATAAAGGTCTCTACTTTTCCACAAAAGGCTTCCAGGGAAGGGGATTTCCCTAGTTCCCATTTGTCCTTGCTGAATGTTTCTCCTTTTTCAGATCATAGCACAGAACGTGGATTAGAGGTTCCTACCTGACCATCCCTATACCCTGGAGTTTAGGGAGTAGAGGTAGCTATAATTCTGTCTTTTCTTAGATGTCTCTCTTCCTTCTTCCGTCAAGAGCAGATAGAGGAGGAAATTCCCAAGCAAATTCATGAAAACAGGGCTTAAGAACAAACTAGGGTCACTAGCTCTGTCAAATTGACATGGGGGTAAAACTGTCCAAGTCAGCTAAAAAGAGCTAAAAACTCGTCAACTCAGCATATGAAGCTATAGATTTTTTGGTTTTCTTCTGGAGGGGAGGAGAAAGAAAAAAGACATAAGAACAGATTTTTCCTTAATAGGAAATTGATTGCAAGACTGTCACTAGTTAAATCGGCTATAAATCTGCAGCCCATATAGCTTATTTGAAAAGTCAGAGTTTTTCAAATAACTGATGATCACATAATCAGGTACTATGGAACTTTCAAGAGTCAGAGGCAAGAGAACTGAGATGTACAAATCATCCGGCCCTTGGAATTAGAGGAATGGGCTAAATGACAACACTTACAAAACCAGAAACTGTTCAATATCCACCAGTGGTTTCAATCCCTTCTCCTTTCCATTGCCACCTGGTTCTGAGACAGGTAGGAAGGTAGGGAGAGAGGAAGGAAGGAAGAGAGACTAGAAAGGACATTTGGCCTATGATAGATTAAACAATAGGATAAGAATATTTAGTGTTGCCACTATAGTGGTAGCATATTGATGTCTCATCATATTAACGTCAACTATGACACTGCATGAAAGCTCAATTTTCCCTCATGAATAAGTGAATTTTCACAGACTAAGGCTAGAAAACCATTTGTTAAAATATGTGTGTGTGTGTGGGTATATATATATACACACACATATATATATATATTTCTAATTATGCTAGTTTCAGGTGTTCCATTTTATTTTTAAACATCTTTATTGTTTTATTATGATGAAAGCCTTGAAAGCCAGAAAAAGTTTTATTATCTCTAGATTTCAGGGAAGCCCTACTACTCCTGGAACACTGATGTTAGGTGGGTAGGAAATGGCACACACTGCATGTAACCGAGTAGGTCTCTTTGCCAAATACATTTTTCAATTCTTCATGCCTGTTTCTGTACTTCTTTTGGTGTAGAAAATTGTGAGTTAGCTGTATTTATAAGGCTACAATTTGCCATGTGACCTAAGACAAGTCACAAGTTTTTAGGGGGCTGGTCAGTGGACTCTACAATTCTTTCCAGCTATAACTTTATCATTTTAAACTTACTTATACATGGTTATTGAGTATCTGTGTTATGTGTAAGGAAGAGGGGGAGGAGAAAAAGGAGGAGGGGGGAGATAAGGAAAGGGGAGGAAGGAAAGAAGGGGAAGGGAAAGGAAGGAAGGAGAAGAAAGAAAGAAATGGTGAGAGGAAGGGGGGTAAGAAAAAAGAGGAGGGAAGGAGAAATGAAAAGAGAGAGGGAGGAAGAGACAGGGAGGGAAGGAGATGGAAAGAGGAAGTAGGGGAGAGAGAGAAAGAGAGGGAGGGAAGGAGAGAGGGAGGGAGAGGGAGAGAAGTGATCAATTAGGGGGAAAAAAACTAAAAAAAGGAAATCTCTCAGTTAACAGGAAAAGACTCTAAGGTTGATCTCTCCAGAAGCTCTCAGCCTGGGAGTAACTTTAAATCAATTTGAGATAGGCAATAGAAAGAGCAATGTGTCTTAGAAGTCAGAGAAACTTCAAATCTTGGCTCTGCAATTTGCTACCTGTGTGACCTTGGCTCAGTGGCCTAAGTCACTTAAGTCACCTGTCAAATGAGAGGGTTGTGCTAGGTTACCTTTAAATGGATGACCAAAATGAGATGAGAACATGACTTGTTTACAGTCTGGCTCTTGATTCCTCACTTTTTCTTTCCTGCTCTCTAGTCACTGTTACTACGTAAACTACTGCAGCACAAGATTGCATCTTTTCTCTTATCCTTCATGGTGCCAGGGCACTTAATTCTGGACTCCATAATTTCATCACTGTGATTAACTCCTCCACCAGTGCAGATCACAATTTCCTCCCTCTGCTTTATGTAGAATGTCTTTGTGAGTCTGTAGGAACACCTAGTACTGCAAAGGTCTCAAAAGTCATCTAATCCCCACCCCTCATTATATGGGTAAGGAAATT